GGCCGTCATGCCAGAGAGGACAACCTCGGGAGCGGGATTGAACGGATCACCTTCCTGCGGGACCTCGAGATGGCAAAACCGGCAGAGGATGATCTTCCCGGGACACACGCTGGTTCGATGCCTGGCGAGATCTGGGAGAGAATTTGAGGAGAATTCACAGGATGGGCATTCTCGTTGGTTGTGAAAGATGTCGTCGTGCTTGTCCCTGCTCCGTTTTGAATCCCCAAAGCCTAGATCCCGGTCGCAGTGCCAATGCCTATCCCATTCCTCGGAATCTTTCTTGAAGACGGCTTCGCACAGGGGGCAGATGATGTTGTTCCTCCGACAGAAGTTTTCGTGAAGCACAATCGTACGCTTTGGCACCCATTGTAGGCAGTTCTTGCACTGGTCGTCGTCCGGCGAATGTTCAGCCTCGTTGTCTCCTGATGACAGGGTCGGGGAGCCATGTGAATTAGTTTCCATCTGCGCTCGAAGAGTAAATGTAATCGGTGTCCGGGAATCTTCAGTGGTGTGGCGGTAGGCATAGATTGACACTTGAATGGCTTCGGCATCGTCGAGCTCAACATTGCTTGGCGCAATGGATATGCTCTTCACCCCGTCAGTTGCTGGAAGCATGTGTCCAAATACATGGGCAGAATCGCGCGGCAAGGCTCTGTGCTGAGGAGATTTCGGGCTTATGAACAGGTCGAGGCTATCCGGGTCCTGGATGCCTGACAAGGTAATGTTAAGAGCTTGGGAGCGATTCCAAGAGGGGAGTATGTAATCCACGTACTCCCCAGGCACAACCTGCCCACTGACAGGCTTCCAGATATCAAGCTCGCCTCCCTTCGAGCTGCCGCCAGAAACTTCTGGTTGTGATCCAGACATGATCTGTCGCATCGTTTCCCTGGCCTGGTCCTCGTTCAGAGCTTCAATGTCCACTTCCAGGTCGGTGTCTACGACGCAGATACCGTCCCCTTCGGGTGCAATCATATCGACTAGGAACCTGAAAGTTTCACCCTGAACACCTTGTACGGCGAGAACAGTGTTGCGCGTCAGAGTTGTAAAGCTGTCACGGAGCTGTCGTTCCAGCAACGCCTTCCAGTCCGCGGGGTTGTACCCCGCCTCGAGGGGTCTCAATCGCACGAACGAACCCTTGGGAAGCTGTCTCGCGTGGACTGTGATCATCAGAGGGGCGGGGGCGTTGCTGGCCTCACCATCCACCTCCATTGTATCGTCTTGAGAGGGTTCGGGTTGTTGTTTTAGGTCTTGCTCCTCGAGGCCAAGGGAATCGGCGAGGTACGAGCTGAGGCCGACGGTGCCCTCGGGAGCCGAGAACTCGCGAATTCCAGCGTACACAACATTATTGTTCTTGGGATTTACGAGTCGGAACATGAGGGGGTTCGGGAGCTGGTGGAGGCTGTCGCGTGGGGGCTGTCCAAAGTCGCCAAACCCGTTGGTCCACGAGGTCGAGGCTGCCAAGAGGTGCTCGAGGGCCGACGGAGGCAGCAGGATCTTGTCGCCTCTAAGGGCCTTGGTCGGCGCATTTGTCGCGGGCAGGATGGTCAAGCTGGCCGACCAGCTCAGGGATGATGGGTCGGCCATCGCGTTGTGTGTGGGCGTTTCTCGTCACAGTGGAAAGAGACCAAAGTAAATCGCACGGTAGAAAAAGCCTGGGCGGGGTCGCATCACCAGCGTTGCACAATTGAAGCTACTTGCTGCTCAAGGCAGCGTGTGGGAAGAGCAGATCTGGCTGGTTTTGTCGCCGCATTGTCGAGAATCTTTTAGCAGAGCAGCAGCAACATCAGTCAGCGATTTTCGGTCGTGTTCCACCAGACTCGATGGTTGAACCTCGAAGCTACAGGCTACAGCCAGTCACGTCACGCGTCACGTGCTTCCACCAGTCCACCTCAGCAAGTAAGTGCTACCCATCGTGGTAAATGAAAATATGGCTGGCACTGCAAGCAACATCGAATATAGAGGTATATATCATGTTCTATGAAGCAAGTCTACCTTAGGTAGCTATGTGGCAGGTAAAGGCAGATGCATTCAACATCCAAAGGATTCATGGTGTTTGTCCCTCGCACCTTGGAATTACGGTACGGTACGTACTCAACACTTAGGCACCTGGAAGCACTAGCAGGGGCTTGATGATGATAATTGCACATCTGGATCTTATTGTGGCATGTGAGAGCAAGTGGGCCACTACGGCCATGTCAAGGTTGGCGAGTGACTTTAGTATCGAATCTAGAAGCTACATGTAGCTAGGACCATGTCAACGAGACAGATGACGCCTAGATGGTTGGAATTGTTGAGCATTGCATTTCAAAGCGCGGTACGTAGATGGATGCCTGCTGCTGCGGAGAGACCTCTTGTGTGACTCTACCTGCCCATCAGAGAAATGGGCGCCAAAGTGTCACACAAGGTAATGCTCCCTGAGACCTGCATTTGCCCCAAGCTACATACGAGTAGAACGGATGTACCTTCAGCGCCGGAGACATCGCCGGAGATCTCGGTGGTGAGATGGTGTAGCTCCGACATAGCTCGAGCTCTAGTCTGCGGGATGGAGCACTCCATCGGCCTCAAACAACAGAGACAGCTAATGACGTCGATCTCGCCAGATTTCATGGCTCTCAGCGTCCCAAAGCAAGATTCAAGGGTTGGGTTGGATAAGAGGGCAATAGCAGCAGGGCAATAGCAAGACGGGCTATGGGCTTCTTCTCATTGGGCTTTGCTTCGAGCTCGCATGAATGCTACGCAACGCACCTACACACCAACCAGCAACCGTATCGCACTGTTCCCCCTGGCTGGCGCAACGCAACGTTGAAGCACCTGCAACGAGGGTCGGCCAATATTGTGCGCTGACGGCTGCTGGACGCTGTTGAGGGGCGTGCGTGCGTCCCTCCTTTCCACTCCAAACGTCCATTCCTTCACTCCCATTCCAGTCTGGACATATTCCTTCAGGCCCAAGCCAAATATAAACACGTAGTGACAATCTTAATGCCCATTGACGAAGATCAAACGACCTGCATAAGTAGTTTGGCTGTGGAAATTACGGGGCGCTCTACTTACTCCCCTTGCTCCCTCACCCGAACCACTCACTCCATGACACTAAGGCATGTGTGCAGCTTCCTGCGTGGCCCCGGCGATCGCCAGCCGGTCGATGGTGCCTCTGATCGCGCGACTGCCTGAGTGCCTGTATCGCGGCGCCTGGGTTGAGCATTACAGAACGCATTACCTGAGAGAAAAGTATGGGTGACTGCCACCCTCGCTGCGCGCTCCCATGCGCATGCCATAGGCTGGCAAAGTGCCGGTTGGTGGAGAAGGGATGCGTGGGGGGGGATATCTCGCAGATCTGGTGACCGTGAGCTGCAGCGCTTGTGCAGACACGCCCACCGCTGTAGACGAGGGTTGCGTCGCTAGAAACAGAGCAGAGACAAAGGCTTACAGCTTGAGCTTACCCGGTTTCCGGTGATGCCGCCTGGAATGCGGCACGGTGCGAGAGAGGGCTGATCAAAGAAACTCCGTTCCCGCCACCTCATCTGTGACAAGTAGATCTCTCGGATGGCCCTGCTCCTCAGAGAGATATTGCGTGTCTCCTAAATATATCCTGTCTATAACCATCTGTATGAAATCAAACTGGGTTATGCAAAGGCGGTCTACACAGACGTCAAATAGGAGAGACATACACAGGCAGACATTAAAGGAGGGTGGGGAGACGATCACTTCTGTGAGGCGGAAGGGCGCCAAGATCATACGTGTTCTGGGCTGTGAAGAGAAGATCAAAAGAAGAAACAACTGAGACAAGCCAGAGCAAAGACGGACAAAAGAACGTTAACATTATGCGTTAATATCAATCACTCCAAACAAGGGACTTGGTATCACTGGTCAGCCGGTTGGAACACAACACCATTTGAGCAGTTATTATTCCCTCTGAGGATGGTTTTGGTAAGACTGTCAGTTCCAGTGAATCCCCAACGACTCAGCAAGAGGATTTAGGCTCAGCCGTCTCCACTACGTGCGTTACGGTGTGCTATTAATTACAAGACAATCAGGCCAGTCCAGAAGGACCCTGCAAGTCCACCAATACAATGTTGGTCTCACGCCACTCGATTATGCTCCATTACTTACCTAAACCGTACGACCCGCCTGGTCCGTCCCAGCTGTCCCAAGACCCTGACACCCTCTTGGCTGGCCACGCCCGTCCTCCCCAAACGAGACAAGGACCAGACAGGCATGACTGCTGAGCGGGAACCGGGCCTACAGCACGTCTGCATGTCGGTAGACGCACTCGCGAGACAGCAGGATGGAGAGACCCCCTTCGGCCACATGCTACCTCCCCGGCTGCGGCCCCCTTCGTACCCCCAGCTGTGGGATTGCAGTGACGATACCCGGAGCCTCACCACCCCAGATGTACCTCGAGCGAGGCCGCTACGCTCCCAGGTCCCTGCTGCCCTCCTCTTATTAGTACCTACTCCTGTCTTACCTCTCCTCCTCCTTCAAGCCTGATTCAATCCTCCTCACCTGGTCAAGTGCACCATTCAATCCCTATCCCAGCTGTCTTTCTATTTCTTTATATGGCTTTTGCCCTGGCTTGCCGCGTTTAGAGCGGCGGAACGTAATTTGAACTGAGAACAATCCCCTGTTCCCAATAATCAACGATTCCCCAAGATCTATCTAGATCCAACAGCATTCGCTACTTGCTGCCCAGGTATTTTATATCCATGCTCCTTTATATCCTGCCTGTGCAGGCTACTTCTCGTCTTGGTTCTAATGATCTAATTATCCACATAGCCTTCTTCTCCAACGTATCTTACACCGATCCAACAAGCCTAGCAAGCTTCAAGGTGCACAACGAGCTATCGCATATAGACATTCAACCATCTCCACGAACGACCGATACTTGGATACTCGCTCTTTTAGCGCCGTCGACACGCAGACGATACCGCCGCTCAACTTTGAGACCATCATCTTGGTAGACTACAGCTTCGTTTAGGCTCTCCGACTGGTCCTGGCCTGACATGGGCGAAGCCAACGTTGTCCACCGAACGCGCTCTGAGACTCATGTATTGACGTCTTCAACCACTCCACTCCTCCTCGAGACTCTTGTCAACCCTCTTATACTCGACAACACCATCCCTTACCTTCCTGTCTCGAGCCTGCTCAACCTCGCCCTTGCAAGCAGAGCATTCCGCTGCCTACTCTACCAGACTCCTCGAGTCTTCCGACACCTGGACCTTACACGGGTCAAGACAGCCCATTTCGACGTTGATAACAGCGACCAAGGCCAAACCTGGCACAACGTCCAGCTTGACGATTATCTTACCGAAGATGAGTAGGTTCCACCTCTCCAGATATGCGCCCTCAGCTTGCGCCAATCCACCATATGGCAGTTCCATCATCTATCGACCCAGTCGAGCTAATCCTTCTCTGCAGTTTCTACTCTGGGCCGTTGAGGGGCGTCTTCTCAACCCTGAAGCGGCGCGACCTCCTCCGCGATGTGCAGACCTTGGTCCTCGACGGCCTGTCCGTGACGGCCGAACTCTGCAACGACATCATCAACGACCCAACATACAGCGTTCGGATACTCTCCATCCGAGATGTCAAGAACCTGAACCACGGCAAGCTCCGCGGCGCCCTCCAGTACGCCTGTCGAGGCACCCGCCCCGAGGGCGCGCCGCGGCTCAAGGCCCTGTACGTGTTCGGGGCCAAGGACACCCTCCCCGACCCGGCATCCGCCAACTCCAGCTCCATCAGCGCCGAGTGGAACCAGAAGAGCCAGCAGGCCCTGATCACCTCCCTCCAGCACGAGGGCGACGCCTGGTGGTCCAAGAGGGGCCGGATGATCAGCAGGCCCATCCCCGAGGACTGGGCCAACTGCCTGCTGGCGTGCGAGGGCATCATCGCCTTCGACGCCGTCCTCTGCCAGGGGCCTCGCCACCGCAGCTCCCCCGTCTTCGGCACCACCCCTCTGCGCGCCATGTGCGGCCCTGCCGTCGCCACCTACGCCGTCCCGCCCTGCGCAGGCTGCGGCAAGTGTCCAGAGGGCCCGACAGTCCCCGGCCTCGACTTCAGCAAGCAGGCCATCCCCGTCCTCGCGCCTCCCCCGCTCATGTCGTCGTCGCTCCGCGCGGCCACGACCCCCCGCGCGCCCGCGACGGCCTTCGTCCCCCGGTGCCTCGACTGCCTCCGCGAGCGGTACTGCCTCAGCTGCAACAAGTGGTGGTGCGAGTCGTGCTACACCGTCCCCGGGCACAACCGGCCCGGCGCGGCCGACAGCGTCGTCATCGCCGACGAGGACGGGAGCGTGGCTTCCTTCGAGATCAAGCCCGAGTTCCTCAACGCCAAAGCCAAGGTACGCAATGGTCTCTGCCGGGAATGCACCTTTAGAAGAGTCGGTTGAGAGAGGAGGGCCAGGTCAAGGCTTCGGCGACGCCCAGAGGTCACGTAACTGAAGCGAGCATGATTTGTTTGCGCGACGAACCACTATGCCTAGTGGCTCGCCTTACAGAATGTACGCATCGTTTGTTGAAACCTCCTTTTAAGTTGCCGGAGTCATGTCGCGACTGGCAGATGTGTGGCTTTTTTCTGAGAGTGAGTTGGCTAACATGGGGTCTGTAGGCACGAGTATCCAGAAGCTGCTGGGAATGCGGCATGAACGTATGGTATAAACCCCCGGTTCCTTGCGACAGAAGAGCTAACCGCTTGGATAGTGTGCCTCATGTATTGAGAAAACTCAGAAATCGTGCCGGAAGTGCTGCAGTGGTTACTGCCTCGTCCACAACGAAGGCTCGTGTACGAAATTTGTAAGTCGTCCTCATCCTTGTTCTTCAGACACTCGAACTAACTTTCTCCCTCTCAGTGTGACTGTAAGACATCCCGTAGAAAAAGCGTTAAACTCGTAAATTCTCATACTGACATGACTCGAACAGGGTGCGTCTCGCGCGGACGGGGACTGAAACGCCACTAACCGCGAGTTGAACATCATCGCAAGACGGCTCGATCCTTTCCCTTCCTTCGCTCGGTGGAAATCCGGCAGAGGGAGGGCCTGGCTTCTAGCTCGTCGATACCTGGATTGAAAAGGCTGGACTAAATTGTATCTGCGTGTGGGATATACGATGCCCTTCAGTCGAGACGTAACAATCTCAACCCTCCAAGCCATCATGTCAATCGCCTTGACTGGGAACAGACAAGTGATTGATCCATGGCTGGAGGCGAAGCATCAGCGAGCGCATCTTTTCCTTCTCTCTTCTCATTCTTTGACTTTTGTATTTCTTTTTTGCAAGGAAAGCCATCACGAATTGTCTCTATTTAATGACTTTACACGGGACATGGCAAACGTATGTGGGAACAACAGGCGTTGACGGAGAGAACTCTCCTCCTCCCACGGCATGGATTTCTTGGGATTATTATTATGGACGGACATGGGAAACACGATCGCAACTCTTCAATATCAGAAAAAGAAAAAGAGAAAAAAAAAATTCTGATCAGACTATCAATGGAAACAAAGTCTCGCCTCACATCACGGAGGATGAATCCTCTTACAATATCATTTGGAGCACCGCGTTCTTGTCTTTGATGGCGACACCCGCCTCTCACCATGGTTCTAAACCTGGTTCCGTCTCTGGCTACCTCGTACGACGAGTCTCTGTGACACCATGAAAACACCATCTACACAATCGAAACAATATCTGGGCATCAAAGTAGATCGCTCATGGCAGACGATCACGAGCAAGTTTCGCACAAACGCATTTCCGTTAATATTTGATTATGCATATCCGAGATATTTGCCCGGGATGCTTTAGAAATCAGCTTCCAACACGCCCCTAAAAGATGAGCATCCATACAACTCGTCTATCTACCTCAACGATCATGGCTTAACCAGACCCTTCTTCCTTACTTGCTTCTCGGCCCGAGATCCATGTGAGGATCATAAAACAAGACACGCAATCAAGATCGGTCGCCTCAAAACAAGAGTGGGACTCTGAGTGGGCGATAGACAGCTCAATGGGCCTCATACAAGCCGGAATATATGCCTAGATGTTACGGCCCATGACGGATGCCGCGCTGAGCCTTCGCGTAATCCCAACAGATTCGGGAACTAATAACCATACCGATGGGCTATCCAGCATCCCCGTTTCATGTCTCCAGTACCTTGTTCGATCGGAGCTCTATTAAACGTCGGTAACCTCAGCATAGAAGCCCATTATCTCCAGTGTCTGTATACTGGATATTTCCGGACAATCAGAACGAGACCCGATGGAGCGAGCCCTAGGGTGGCCCTGGGTTGAGTCTCCTCCTGCTCTTGATGTCCATCGATCGTGCGTTCAAGCTGTGGAAAGCTGAAAGAATCTCACGGCTTCCAACCACATAACGTAGGATCTCCCAGGAATTTCACGCGTTATGAAGCTCGCCTCTGTTTCGTTTGGTCGAAGGTCTGCTTATTTGGGGTGGGAAATCCAACATTAGCAGATGCCCAGCACCAAAACTCAATCCGAGCCAAGACCTTTTGCGAACTTCCGAGCGACCCATCCTGCACCGTACTCCTCGTATTCCTTCTTCGTTACTTCGAGCTTTTCGATATTGCGGTGGTTCGCCAGGTTGGCGCCGCCGTGCCAGGTACTAGTGACAGGGTCGGCTGGCCTTGCGACACGGACGGAACAGTCATCGGGGAACCGCTGGACAACCTCCTTCTGTAGTCGCTGGATGAAGCCTTCCAGGTGGACGTTGCCTCCGACGACGGTGATGTTGGCGAGAAGACCTGGCCACAGCCCGATGGGGAGGGAGTGCAGGGACTCCTGGACCAGATCGGCGAGGCCAGGTTGGCGCATGCCCATGTCGGCAGGGTTGAATATCAGTTCGGGGACGGCGAATCGTTCGTTTCGTAGCGTGAGGATGTCTTCGTCGGGCTGCGGACCGGCCGCCATCCGTCTCGATTTCGAGTGTCGCGCAGGGTCGTAGTCGCGGAGCTCTCCCTTGGCGCGGGAGCCGAAGTCGGGTAGAACGTAATCCTTGGCAGTTACGCCTGCCACAAAGGGTTCGCGCCTCTCGCCGCGGGTTCCCTTCCAGGACTTCTCGAGGTCGCCCTTGAAATCTGTAGATACGTAGCATGCCGCCTCCTTCAGCTCGTTGACAATGTAGGTATCGTTTCGCATATCGAAGTGGCGTAGAGAGAGAAGTCGTGTCATGTAGTTGGTAAGAAGTTTGCCCCCCACGTCTAGTCTTCGGATGGCAGAGTGGAGGGGGCGTCCCCGTAGAACTGGAGTGACGGTGGTATGCGAGTAGCCAGAGTCAATCACGAGAAGGATCTCGGCGGGGGTGTTGGCTACCGTTGCGGCATCTCTGGTCGTTCGGAAGAGACTCTGGACATCGTGGTAAGCGTTGAAAGTAGAACCTGTCCAAATCGTCAGTGGCCTTGCCAACTACCAGGCGAGAAATGTTTCAGCCGCAGCAGTGTCATACCTATTCCACGATAATAGCTCGCGAAGCCGTATTCCTCAAACACAATCTGATCACAGTTCGACTGCAAGGCGGGCAAGCCGTTGGGGTGCTCGGCGAGCAAAAGGCGAGTCTCGGCGGGGTCGCATTTCAAGGAAGATTTGTCGTCGAGGATCACACGATCCCAGATTTCCTTCTGAGCTTCCCAGTTGACAATGAAGCCTCGATCGACGGGTCGGCGGAACTGGATTTCGCTGAAGTCACGGCACTGGCTAAGCTCGGAGGCGACGTAGACCTTCCTGAGGCGGTCGCGGGCTATGCAGTTGGGGATGATCTCTGGCTCGTCGATGTGGCCGCCGGTCACGAGGCCGGCCTTGAGGGTGTCGGCGCCATTGTCGAGCACGAGGGTAGTCGAAGGGCGGGGAGGAGGCGGGGGAGGTTTGGATTTGCGGCCGCCTGCCATGGGGACGGTGTGGGAGGGTGAACGAGGGGAGAAAGATTGTTGGGAGAATGGAGCAGCGGGTTGCTTCGGAAAGTCGAGGCGAAAAATCGTCGGAATCTGGGGAATCGTCAAGTGATGCGGGGCTACCCTAGACCTAGGATCCCACACGACGTTCTTTGAATGATACTGGACTCACATGTTACATACTTGGTATCTAGATTTATTTTATTTTTATTTCGGCTACTGTTTGCGTCTGTCCTTCTATTGGGCTGCTCATTGCTTTAATTCACCCGAACCATGTTCTTGTAAGTTGATACATGCACTGGGAGGTTCACCCTTTTAGCCACGTATCTATTGTGCCGAGGACGTTACGCATTGCAGCACAGTTCCTCTTTCGGCTCTAAACTTTGGAACCGATGACGACATGCCCAGTAGAAAGCCCGGGGGGGGGTTCTGCATTCTTTCTGCCAGATGCTGCAAGAGGCCCAAACCCGATCAGCAAGCCTCCATTAATAATACAAAACGCCAAGATCGTGGAGGTGCTGTTTCATCGGCCAGACTCCGCGCCCAATCCGGCAACTGATACTGATTCTACTGCCCCGTTACAGATCAGTGACCTGTATCTTGGCTCCCCACGATCCAAAACCCCATCCAAGACGGAAGGAGATTCAGGCCCTGGGCGGCCTCCCCGTCCGTTATGCCTCTGACAAGGGGTTCATTTTCTGGTCGTGATCCGCGGCGAGCTGTTTCTCACTCAGCATGACAAATATCACAGACAGCGCCCGATGTTCCTGTTTCAGTGCATATTGGACACGTTGGAGTGGTATTGGGATAGTAGAATCCACGCTTGGCAACCGTCACCGTGAAGTCCGGACTGGACCCCCTGGGTTTCTGCTCTATTAACCTTATCATGAACAAGGTTGTTCGATATATGCACCTGGCAATGGCCCTCGGTCCGTTATCCAAGATGGCCAACATGCCGGCCTACATCTGAACACGCCATAGTTGTTCACCTCTCGTCGATATATCGGAGTTAGTCCACGTGTGATAGATCATCGAGCCAGACTCTCGCTTTTCTTCTTAGGCCTTCTGTGATACACGACCGAGACACATTCCAGTCTTGCTGTCGAGCTCAGCCCGGAGTGAACATACTGGTGTTTCATGTTCCATTCCATCACGGCGCCAGCCCGACCAGCAACCCCTTCAACCGGGGTTGGGACCCGTGCCCCTTGGGAACCAACCTCCGTTAGCAAACTCCAAGCCGTCGATCCCTCTGTCTGGGACACCTCCCCTGGTGCGCCGGGCTATGCTACCGTCCAACTTTGCCTTTATAGGCAGGACGGATGAAACTTTGCTCATTTCTGATCCGGCTGTGGGTGTGGGTGTGACGGGCTCAGTAATAGGCAAACATTGATTGGATCGTTGAGGAAAGGGTGTCGATGTCATGACATGCCCCTCCAGCCAGACACAAGGCGGACATGTTTGGTGGGCAAGGGTTGGACAGACAATGAGGACACATAAAAGTGCATGCCCTCCACGGCTTGTGCTTGGTCCCCACTCAGAAACTCATCACAAGAGGTATTTGCTGAATGAATCTAGTTGGGAGCTCTTCCAAAATGCAACGGTTATTTTCTGTAGCAGGGGCTTTGGCTCTCCTTTCGCTTGGTTCGTCATAAACCACCCAAACCCGCCTGATGGTACCGTGGATGAACTAACACACCTCAAATAGCCTCGGCACAAACGGCTGGCACGTATTGTGACGGTCTCGGTCGTTGTTTTGCATCCTACACCCTCGAAAATGGCATCGTCTATGGAGTTGCCATCCCCGAGGCCACCGAGGCTCCTTTCGATGTCATTCTTCAAATCACGGCCCCGACTGAGATCGGCTGGGCTGGTCTGTCGTGGAGCAGCGGCATGACAAATAATCCTCTTACCATTGCCTGGCCCAGTGGGGATGAGGTGGTGGTCTCGAGCCGGGCTGCCGTGTAAGTCGTACCGTCGGTAAACGTCGAGACTCCTGATGTATTGACACCAACGTGGCAGCTCATACTCTCTGCCCGCCGCATATGACGGAGCTACACTCGCAGTTCTTGACGGATCAACTGTGAATGCGACACATTGGGTAGCTACAATTCACTGCAAGGGCTGCTCTCTGTGGGATGATCTGAAGCCCGACAACAACAAGCTGGATCCCAATGCCCAGAACGTCATCGCGTATGCGTACTCGAGTAGAGCAGTAAACACCCCCAGCGACCCCAACTCGTCCTTTTCTGCTCACGACGAGGCAACTCCCTTTGGCCTCGACTTCACCCAAGCCCGGTCTGGTGACTTTGCAAGTTGGATCCCCGGCGAGCCACAACCCACGGGCACTCCAACTCCCACAAGCGCCTCGAGCACAACCACGCCAACACCTACTTCAGACGTGCCCGTTCCTACCGGAGAACTTCCAATCCCCACCTCGTGTAGCTTGACTGCCCGTTTCCCTCTTGAGGCCGCCGATGGGTGGTCGTTTGTGAAGCTGGCAGGCAGCCTGACCAACCCCCGAGCCATGGCGGTCGACTCCCTGGGCAATCTCCTTGTCGTCGAGGTTTCAAAGGGTGTCTCGGTACATTCATTCGGGAGCGACGGATGCATTGCAAGCTCCAACACGCTCATCCAAGAGCGTGTACTGACACACGGCATCGCCTTCACGCCGGACCGCAAAACCCTGCTGGTCTCGTCGGTTGACACAGTCTGGAAGTACGACTACGACGCTGAGACCAAGTCCGTGAGCAACAAGGTTGTCGTGGTCAAGGATATGTACCGCGGGACGCACTCGACGCGCACTCTGGTGGTCCCTCCAAAGACACCCAACTTGCTGGTGGTCAGCCTCGGCAGCCACACCAATCTGGACATGCCCGCGTTCGACAAGAACACTGGAAGAGCCATCGTCAAGGTGTTTGATCTATCCCAGGCTCCCGAGGGTGGTTATACCTACAGCACTCAGGGCACATTCCTTGGGTACGGACTGCGGAACGAGGTCGCCATCGCCGTCGATCCCAACAACATGTACGTCTAAACCATCTCTTCGATTGATAATCCCGACTGCTAACTGAGTTGAAATAGGGTCTGGGGTGTCGAAAACAGTGCTGATGAGTTTGCCCGCGTCATCGACGGCCAGGCCACAGACATCCACGAGAACAACCCAGCCGAGGAGCTTAACTACCGTAAGTATCGCTACTACTTTATATCCAAAACCCCCACACCCCCTAAACTAAGCTCACCTTGCTAACCCGGCTTCCACCCCCCAGTTGGCGACCCATCCGTGTCCAACGAGAACTGGTACGGGTACCCAACGTGCTTCACAGCCTGGGGCGGCGACGAGTTCCCCGACGGCAACTTCACCGCCGGCGACCAGTTCATCCCCGAGCCCAACAGCACCTGGACCGACCGGACGTGCCAGGAGCGGTCCACGGGCCCCCGCCTCTCCATCCAGGCGCACTCGGCCCCCATCGACGCCAAGTTCGACCCGGCGGGCGAGAACCTCTACGTCACCCTGCACGGCTCGTGGAACCGCGACGTCCCCACGGGCTACAAGGTCGTCACCATCCCCTTCACCACCGGCGGCGAGGGCGGGTACGAGCCCGTGGCCGACAGGCACAGCAAGGAGGGGTACGTCGACCTGCTGTGGGATCCGCAGGACGGGTGTAATAGCTCAAAGTGCTTCCGGCCGAGCGGTATCACGTGGGATAAGGACCAGACGCGTCTGATTGTCGCGAGCGACAATGGGCAGGAGGGGGAGCTGTATATCCTGTCGCGGGCGGCGGGGGCTAAGCGCGGTAGGAAGAGACAGTAGGTCGGCGAGGTTTGGGTGAAGAGAGCCAAGGACCTTCTGCTCTACTGGTGGATGTTGCGTGGCATAATCCACTGTATATAGCTCCTATTCCGGGAAACAATTCTCTGAATATCTGTATATTATCCTATCTCTAGAGAGGACAAGACGATGATACCATGAAACACAAGACGATCAAGACCTATCCATCACTCGACCCAGCTGGACTCAACGACAGCCAGCGTATGTTAGTTTGGTTGCAAAATCCCAGACCTCATAAACGGCGCCTCAAACCCAACAATGTTATCCTCCCCATCTCTGTAGAAGAGCACCCGGTCAGTAGGTTCACCCCCGTAATGCACCCAGTCCCCGACCGTCCAGTGGAAGCACGTGCGGGCATCCAGGCCCACGCCGGGGAGCTGCGAGTCCGTCTTGAGGCTCAGGGTGGGCTGCAGCCGCCACGTCTCGACCGTGACGGGCGTGCCGTCCCCCAGCGTGGTGTGCGAGTCGAGCTCGGTCGGGAACAGGCGGAAGGGCGAGGACACGGGGGCGACGTACCCGCCGACGGTGACGGACCAGAGGTTGACGAGGCCGGCGAGGACGTCGGTTCCGCCGCGCGTGATGTTGCTCACGATGAGGGAATCCTGGTCCAGCGAGAAGGAAACGGAGAGCGGCGTGTGGCCGTCGTGGCCGGCGGCGGTCTTGAAAGTGGTTGCGTAGTTGTCTTTTGCGTATGCTCTGGCGGCCTCATCGATGGCGGGGACAAGGACGGAGAGGGCGGCGTTGTTGATCAAAGTGATGGAGTTCATCGGACCGGCAGTCAAGACGACGAGGCCGATGCCGTACTCATCTATAATGGACAACTGGCTGCGGTAGGACATGGCGCCACCGCCTTTTCCATAGACGGAGACGGGATGGGGGTGGTTAGGGGTGAGGTCGGAGGTTTGGTATATCTCCCAGGGCATGCCGACCTGTGTGCTGGGATTACCAGCTACAGAGGAGGGCTTGAGCCAGCCGCGAGTCTGGGCGCGGGTGATGGGCAGAGTGCGGGTGAGAATACGATGGCAGAACTGGCCAAGATCGGAAATGGTAGAGACCAGGCCGCCAGCGCTGCAAGTCGTTGTTAGAAGGGACTGGATATGAACGGGCAGAGATGAGTTATACTTACGGTGCGTCGAAGCCATAGTTGCCTCCCCATGTGCTCTCCCCTGGAGGGATGACGGCCTTGTTGTCGTCGCCAGGTGAGGGAAATGTGCTCGTCATACCAAGCTCCTGGCCAATGAATTCATTAACGAGCTGAGTGTAGTTCTTCCCCGTTTGTGCCTCGACGGCCATGAACATGAGAGTAAAGGCAATGTTGGAGTAGGAGGGACGCTCGTTGGTAGCGGTTACGGGATACTGGGTTCGCATCCCGTTGAGGAAGTCTGCACATGGGAGAGTCAGAGGTTACTGAATGTGTTTCTCGAAGGAAAATCGTCCCGGGAAATTGGGGATTGGGGAGGATTCTTACCATCTTGTGAACAAGGTCCATTCAAACCACCCACGCTACAAGGGGGATAGTCGGAGTCATCGATGTCCGGTAGGCCTGAGGAAACGAACAGTTTCTTCAAGTAGTAGTACTCGGAGAAGCCGTCTGAGGGAGAAATGGTTTAGTTTCATGTAATAATGTAAGAGAAGGACGATGAAATGAATCTAGGGATAACATCACTTACAGTTGGCCGGAACACCTGCAAGATGCGATCCTAGCATTCGCAGTGTGATCTGGTTCCATTGGATGATGCTTTCGGTCTCTGTCAACTTGGGCAGGAGTTCAGTGACAGGGGTATCGATATCAATGCCGCTTCGTAGCAGGATGTAGTCGGAGATGGCCTTGCTGATTGATCCGACAAGATACTGCGAGTCTCTGCCCACCTCGAGGGTGCCGCGGGTGTTGGCTTCGGCACGGTGATGGAACTCCCAGATGGGGACCTTTGCATCGCTCTGGTTGGCAGATATGAGACCAATCGAAAAGGACGCGTTTTTGGTCTCCCAGCCTGCAGTAATGGTGCCGTTGATGGCCGCGTTCAGCGACGACGTGAGGTTGGCGGCAGCCTGCTGGAGGATTGGTGACGAAGAGAGGGAGGAGATGGCTGGCCGAGGGAGGACTGGACCAGAAGGACCGCAGATTAGTTCTGCTACTCCCAGGGTCGGGGCAAGGGCCAATGCAGATAGCATACGAAGCATGGTGTATAAGTGGTACAGAGAACGAAAGAGGTGGAGGAGAAGGCTGTTTCGAAGCGTTCAGCTGGGGCTCTGGGTCTTGTATATTTGTTGTCTCACTTGGAGCCTCACTTGTGTAGTAGAGTTTGATAAGTGTGTTAATCATCTCTATAAAGCTGGCGATGGACGCCCATTTAAATATCCGCAAGTTACACAAACAGTGGTCTACGCCAACGGACAATCATGCTGCCACGACTATAAAATCAACTTTCATGTTGATGGACGTTTGAGTGCGTTGACTGACAGGGACCCGGTGGAGCCTCTAAATCTCAACCAACACGAGATACGGTTGTTTGGAGGTCTGGGAATCTAGTGTTGATGTGGGAGTGAGCCAATCAGTTGTCCGGTGCTCAATCCACCACACTGACGACGGGCGACGATCTGCGAGATGCGACCCGAGATACGATGCAAAGCTCATCCGCTAGCGTCCCTACTCTATTTCGATTGTCAATGCCGGGCCAATTAACGCAGGCGAGCGAGGCCATTGATGGATGTATGACATATAGCTGATGGATATCACAGCACAGCCTGCAACGTCGGTGATGAAACTGCGGCTTGGAAGGAGGGAATGGTATACCATGTAATGTAATATCTCTATGTATCCGTAATTCGTACTCGGCAGATTAATTTACTAGAGTTTGGGTGTGCCTGTCACATCCTTTCTCGGGGCCCTTGCTTCCTGTCTCTCGTCCGTGCCCGCATCATGGGCGTCCCTGAACTTCCTATCGTCTTCCTCGGGGCCTCGTGCTGAGACCCGCGTTGTCTGAGTCTCCTTGTACCGGATCTCCGCCCGGCGAGGCTCCCTATTATGAGACTCAGTCTGAGTCTCCCTGTCATGAGATTCTCTCTGGTAGTACTCCTTGCGCCCGCTGGGCCACGAGTAGTTCTTCCAGTTTCCGAGGCTGGGCCACATCCTATCCTTGACCAGAGCCGCAATCTTCCTGCGGCGATGGACCTCGCGGCCATCACTCTCCTCGTTTATCACGCTCCTCCATATCTCATAGGTCTCGTCCAGCTCCGGAACGCTGGACACGCCCATGACGCTGATGCCCATCCGAGCAGGGCCCCGGACGCCGCTCTCCCCCTTGTGCGAGATGGCCGTCGAGCCGAACTCGGCGCCTATCCTGGCCCAGTGGTCCATCGACCACCGGATGGCCACCTCCTCGAGGTGCTCCCCCTCCGACTGGGCGATCTGCGCCAGACCATTACATGCGCGGCGGAGCTCCGGAGGCGCCGGGTGCCACGAGGCCATGGGGCCGCGATCGACGCCGCGTGTGGTTAGGAGACCCATGCTGAGCATGCTGGCGTTGGTGATGACGTCGACGCCGGCGTCGGAGAAGCGCTGGAGGAGCTTGGGGTCGCCGAGGCGGGTGTTCTGGACGCAGAAGTTGCTGTAGGACTGGACGGCGTCGACGGGCTCGCCGGTCTCCCGGTAGATCATCTCGGCGAGGGAGGCGAGCACGTCGACGGGGTAGCCGCTGATGCCGACGTAGCGGAGGATGCCATCCTCGTCGCGCAGCCGGCGGAGCTCTGTGACGGCGGCGAGGACCTCGCGCGGGGTGACGAACTCGGCGTCGTGGGCGTAGACGAGGTCGAGGTAGGGGGTGCGCAGGCGGTGCAGGCTGCGGTAGACGGAGGCGCGGATGGCGACGGGCGAGTAGTCAAAGGTCTTGGCGTCGATGCGGCCGGCCTTTGTGAGGAGGAGGTAGGAGGAGCGCGGGGTCTCGACGGTCTCGAGGGCGTTGCCGAGGAGGTGCTCGGAGGGGCCGTAGTAGGGGGACGTGTCGAAGGCAGTGATGCCGTGGGTGAGCAGGGCCTCGCGGACGATGGAGACGTAGGGCATGTGCGTGGGATCGGGGTGGTACTGCGTGTTGAAGGTGGCCGTGCCGAGGATCAGAGGCGGCAGGACCGTCGACAGCGGCGGTGGCGGCGGCGCAATGGGAGAAGCCATGTTGATGTGATTTGCCCCTATTTCCTGCTGTCGTGGTGTTGTAGAGGTGGCCGAGAGCAGGGATGTGATGCCGCGATCTGGGACTGGGTGCCGGAGACGGATCAGCACAGGCAGAGCATCACAACGACGGGGGGACCGGCTCTTGAGGGACTGACGCTCAGGTGGATGGATGTCGGAGTTGGAGAGGCCAAAAGCACGTCAACGCGAAAGTGGTGGGGAGGAGGGTCCTGGCGGATCTGAGCGATTTGACGCGCTAGAGCCAGCCAGGCGATGTCATGGTCATGGCTTTTATTAATTAATGGGTACCTGGCCTAGCTGACTTTAATTAGCCGCTTCATTTTGCTCCCTGGACGAACTCGGGCGTCGTATTGGATGTTTTGTGACGTGACCTGGCCTTGTGGTGCCCAAGCGACGATGATGGTGACGGTCACGACTCGAGAGTCATCAGTGTGGAACGCGAGAGAGGAAAAAAAAAAAAAAAAAAAAAAAAAAAAAAAAAAAAAGGAGCAGACAGCTTCTAGCGCGAAGTGCATTGGAATGAATCATCAGGGTCGCTTCCCGATCGATCGAGAGCAGCAGGTTTGATAGATAAGTGACTAAACTGGGGGATTTGCTGCAGCCTGTAGCGTTGCTGCAACAGCGCATTTCCGCCAGATCAGTGGGTCGAGATACCGCAAGCGAGTCACCCTGTCACCATGAACGCCTACATTATGCATAAGGTGCGCATCGGTATTCCCCATGTCGGTTTGTTACTCTCGAGACTAATATGCGCATCTGCAAATGTCTTGTCAATGATTTCCAGCGGCCGTAGTGGGATGAACATGATAGACTGTTATTGTCCGGTGAGCCAGAACGTGGTGACTGAGATTGCTACACCGCTATTCCACAGTGAGAGAGCATATCTTCAAAGCCAGCACTTGAGCTGCGGCAAACTCCACATGCATGTCACAGTCATTCTCTGGCAAATCGATGCAAAATAAGACGCATCACACATAGGGGACTGGAGTTATAAGACATGGAACCATCTCCATCTTTCCTGGAATAGGTACTAGGTAGTAGGTCCGAGTCGCCGACGATCGACTCCCCGAATGCATTTCTGTCTAAAATTAAGGCACTTCCTAATACCTAGACATGCAGTAGCTGAGAAATCGATATTATGGTAGGGTATCAAAGAGGGGTTGATTGTTGGTGGCCTGCGATGCGCTTGTGCAGCTACATCACCTCGTTTAGCAATTGATACCAGAAGCTACATTCCTCCAGCCTATTCTTGGCCACATTCCTTTTGTTGGTCATTTATGTAGATTTGTCCAATACAAATAAGCTCATAAGCTTGTTTTTCTTTCCAAGAGAAAAGGGCAGAAACGGGTTGAGTGGATTGAGATGGTGTGCAAGAAGGATACTACCTAGGTATATACAAGAGAAGATCTCGCCAAATGAATTTGTATTAGATTTCATAATGTTGGTTCCATATTGATTTGGATGGTTCTGGAACTATACCTGTTCCCTACTTTATCTTGAGTTGTGCTTGGGGTTAAACTAAGTGCGAATGGTAATTCCCATTATGAATTGAAAACTTGAATACGTGGCAACAAGGAGTGGGCTGCACAATCTAGAATTTGCTTCTCATGTAACTTACACAGTCGCGTGGCTTATGAGGTGAAGGCTAAACACGAAATGCAAGGGTGTATTGCCTTGCCGTATGGTGACTGGCTTTGATGCTGACTCGGCCATTGATCTCAAATCCTAGGAACTTGCAGTATGGAACATGTAGAGAACGGCAAATGCGACCTGGGCCAACACTTATCCATTCCTATATTTAATTTGGTGATGAAGGAGTTATATTTGACTTGGCGCGAGTACAATGCCGAAGACTTGACCTGGAAAAATAGATGCTACGCCCTGGTCTCAACGTAGCGAAATGCTCGTGGCCATACGTCAATTATTTATCCGTCCTCTGAAGTCTATAACAAGGCCGATAATAAAGTTGATAGAGATGATGATGTCCATGGATATGTCAATTCATTCGATACGAGGATGTTGATTTGACGCAAAATTGCCGAGTGATTGCTTATGGTGCTGATATTGAAGGGCAGGGAAAGTACAGCCATTACCTCTCCCTAGCATGTAGATGTTTTGATGCGTGCTGACTTTTTTCTTCTATATGGCATATATTTCTGGATTAGCTTATTATACCGATATGGAACCGATGGCATGCGAGAGGTGTGTTCCGTCCCAATTGTGAAGGAGTGAAATTCCCGCCAGTCAGCCTCTGTGTCTCTGAACAACGGATAACGCCTTCCATTTCCACATGGGATGCAATCTCTCAGGGCAGCCCGGAAAACGAACGGGATTTCACTTTCATGCCTAGGTTTGAACTAAAGGTGATGCCTCCGTGCCACGCTACAGTTCAATGGCCTCATGACCAGGCAGACGGGCCATGCGTAACCTTAGGACTGCAAGGGTTCCTCGTCAGACCCTTCATCCCAAAATTGACCGCCGAGGCATGTCTCGGGACCATTTCCGGGCTCATTGTAATTCAGTTTCAAGCTCCCAGTTCTGTCCAAGAGAGAATCTATGACAAATGATAAACCGTCTTTGTTCATGCTACTTACATCGCTAGAGCTGGTGGAATTGCGATAAAATAATTGTACATGCAAGGTGCTCACCGGCCTATTCAAGGCATCACGGTCACTCTATCATACTCACCATCTTAAGCTCGGATTAGACACGGTATGTTATGGTTTCAGCCTCAACATGGTCTGAAGGCTGACAATGTTATTATAAGTATTTCAAGCATGAAAGTTGTTCATCTCTGGGTTCAATGTAAAAAAAATCCTTGAGTTGGCTTGAATAAAAAATACACGGGTGTTCTAAATCGTCGTGGAATTTGAGGAGTTGGCGACCGACTACATGTGAAACCCCATGCACATCCTTGATTGCTGATGCAGTAGACTCTCATATTCCACGTTTGGACGAACGAGGCCCGGTGATCCAAGGGCAAGAACCGTTTCCGGTGGTCCCGGTGGTCAATCACTCACACATTTCTCAAGTGTTAGTGTCTAGAGTGTTGATACGTTTTCCCGGAAGCTGACGCCAATCTGACGCCAATCTTGCGCTCATTCAAGTTATGAAGCCTTATTCTCGCGACATTGGGCAATTAGAAAACCAAAGTATTGAGAATATTTTCTGATCAAAGTCTTTTGGATTTAGACAATAATTACTATTCAAGAAAATCAGGGCCCTCTTGCCTATGGAATTGTGGCGAGACTCTCCCATGGATAAGGCGACTTCTTGAGGGGACACCCCATCAGGATTTTTTCTATGTAAAGCTCTAGAGCCACTACTGAAGGACGAGATGTAAGCAGATGGCAGAGGAAATGCTGAACCCAAGTCTAGACTGATACGATAACATCCATGACGTCTTAGTATCAAATATCGTCTGACATTGATTTGAGCGCGGAGCTGAAAGGCTCGGGAATTGATCCGTTGAAGTCACCCTTGACTCCTGAGAGGCAGCTGCCAAGCAAAAGAGTCCAGCATGCTTTGGACTCTATCGTCAGCTAGCAAGCCAAGTAGGATATAGATGCTTGTTGATGGGCTCGACTATTCTGCTAGGGCAAGACGATGAGCTCGGGCGTATGGCAATTCTGTGAGACTGAACACTGGATGGAATACTGATCGCTGACTCCTTCCGTCAATGGAGAGTGGCTATCTTGGACAGCAGCGAGATAGATAACAGGCTTGGCCAAAAGAAGACAAATTGTGAGAGCCAAAGGGGGCTGTGATTTGATACCAATCTTATTGGACAAGGATCGGCAGGCCATGTCACGCATGTTCGAGTTTCGGGATTGCCCCAAAAGCCGCTTAATTAATGACGCTCATGAAGGCTACTTGAGTATACATATTTTCCCATGGAAGATAAAGGGAAAAGTAAGTACTCCGAAGTTCCGGCTAGCTCCACGCTCTGTTGGTCGAGTCGGTAGTAAAACATCTCCTCAGAGTCCTCACTGGTCAAACAATCGCCCCATGAGCCTAATTGTCTAGTTTGTAGATACTGCTAGTACCAATGCGTCCAAGGCCCCACGAGCTGAGGTCAACTAGCCAAACAGAGCGTTGAGCCATATCAGTGCTGACACGATAGCTCATTCTCATATCGCCCCCCGTCGTCGTCAGCCCCTTTCCCCAGAAATGATTGCTCCTCGGGGGACTGAGGTGCCTTGGCATAGAAGAGGTCTAGAACCTACATGAACCTGTGTGCATTGAGAGTCAATGGTAGCTGATGCACGTCAAGCAAGACCTGTGGCTCATCCAGTTCTGTTTCATCCTTCTCGATTGCCTGGATCGGAAGAAGTTGAAGGCTCATCCGTGACAAAGTCCAAAGCTTTGGAGCACTAATGACTTCATCACACCATTCAATGTTGTTATTCTTAGGCTACTCTTATCTTTGAGACTTGTGTGGCCCCTTGCCACACCCCTGGCATCCTTGCTTATCTGTCTCTGGAGTAATGCCCCATATTCCGTACATGTTCTACGCCAGCTTCCATACCAATGCTCTCTATTCCTGTTTTGTTCAGCCTCTCCGTGAGCTACAAGCTGAGCTAACGGCGTTTTCCCCGGGCTCCGTGCCAGTCACAACTCTGAATCAGCCAACAACTAGGCTGACATCAATACAAAGTAGCTAGCCTTGGGGAGTCGAGGATCCACGTACCATTCTTCCTCTATTTCACTCCCAGATAGGCTCATGATGATGAGCCGCCGCTTGTCTGGCTAGCTGCGGCATCCCCGGTGGTGGGTAACTAGGTCTACCATGTCACTTCCTACAACGCCCATGCTTCTTTGAGGCCTGATCTTCGGGGTCTATAAAGAGCTCTTAGTGTCCTCATTGCTGAGCCACTTGAGAGTATCCTCATCCTTGATTACCCCGTCCCTCTCTCTTCTTTCCCCCTCCTTTTCCTGCCCAATTGGGAGCAAAGCCATTGGCTCTTCATTTTTAAACTGATTGCTCGAGGGACTCCCTCCTCCTCCCCCAAGATGGCCTCAGACGATGAGAAGCGAGCGGGCAAGCTCGAACAGGAGGTGGACAGTAGCTCCGTCGACGCCCAAAACGTCGACAGCACTATCGTGACCGAAGGACTCCATCGCCGTCTCGGCAACCGTCAAATCCAGCTCATCGCCGCCGGTGGATCCGTCGGCACAGCTCTCTTCATCAGTATCGGTGGCGGTCTTGCTAGAGGTGGCCC